ACTTTTTATAATAATATTCCATTTAATGTAGAATTTACCCTATCAATCATTTTTTACTTTATCCAAGCTAATGCTGTTTGTAAGCTGTCGTGACCTCTCAATTCACAGAAATTAGTCCTTCTAAGGAAAAAATAAGCAAAATTCTGCAGTTTAATGTATCTGGAAGGCTGAGGCTAGTAGAGTCTATGAAAAGTAATTTGCTTCACAAATGCAACCAACTATCTAGATTACGTTGTGATTCCTTTTCAGATGAATCATCTTCGAGAACACTATATGCTCGTCAATTACACTGTAGCGAGCATTTTTGTGCAAAACGTATGTTTTCTTATCTTGATAACACCTATAAGAGTAATTCTCAATATTCCGACATTCAGCCAGGAAATCTTGACGATCCAAAACGACTTCAATTAATGAATAATCTTGTCGCAGATTTTGAATCCTATCCGGAATGTTTAGGCTCTAACTTCAGTCACTATTTTGTACGGTAGGTCATCTATACCGTAAAGCCTTTATATGGCATTAAGCATGCCTTTGCAGAGACTATAAGTTTTTCCAAGAGACGGTTGAGCTCGAGGAGGATGAGGCATTTGGAGAAGAACCTCAACGAAACAACACATTCACGAAATCAGCTATGCAGCCATTTTTCTCCTGGCCAGAATTCAAACATTGGAATGGGTTTGTGAAATTCGACGAACAGGGAAAGTATGTCTATTTTTTCCTTATTCAGTCAATTTTCTATAGAAAATATCATAATTTTAGGTTAAATCGAGTCTGGATCGTTGTTGCGTATCACGGACAACAACTGGGTGACAATGTGTACAGAAAGGGAATTTTAGAAAGGTAAGGAATTTTTCATTTCTTATGAACATGACCACTTTCAATGTGACTGTCGAAAATCGTTAACAGACCATCAAATGTGAAAAAAAATCAAATTTTGGTAATTGTGAGCAATGTAACCCGAAAAAATTTTGAAGAAAATTCATTTAAAAAACGAAATTGTTGAGAATTATAGAAAACAAATGTAGGCCTCGGCACGACGACAATTTTATATTCTTCTCAAAATCTTAGATGCACTATCAATCCCCAGTCTTTAAGGTGCCATTTACCCATAGCTGAATTCCTTCCACGATTACATGGATTACATGCTTTTTTCTGCCTATAAACATTGGGAGGCTTATTTCTTATCTTCAGAATTACCGATGAATTGCTAATTTATTTTTCATCTAAAATTCTAGTTTT